CGCCAACGGCGCCCGATTCGACAGCGGGATCCACTGTTACTTCCGGTACCGGTGCAGGATCCACGGCACAGCAGGATGCGTTCTCAGCGGTATCATCCCGTAAGTCTTCAGTTCTCTCTTTCTCCCCCTCTCTCCCTCTCATCAGAAGATGTTTTGCGTCCTCCTTTCGCGTAATTGATTCATCATTGATGCGTCGTTTTATCAGCATCAGGGAATTCCTTTTAATTCATTGATATTACCGTAGTATAGCTTCTTTGGGAAACGTGGAACGTCGTGTTAAATCGATTTTTGAATTTGATTTTAGGAGGTTTAAGAGGCATTAGCATGGCGGTTCGTTTTAGAAGAAACGAGGTTCTATTTATAGATGTAATTTTAGGATTAAATTTTTACGAATCACAGTCAGTGTTTTTAAAGTAGATTTTTTGGACAAGTGATATTCTCAGTCTTTGTCTCATTTCCCGAGTCATTGCCAGAGGTCTTCATTCCGAAGTAATTTCATTTGACTGATCGTGATTTTTCGAATCTTTTTAATTGTACGATGAGACCTTTTAAATGATTTTCGATCTTGGAGAATAGAAAGAAGCTAAGAGACAAGCTGCCGATACAATTTGTCTTGCAGCTAAAGATTCTTTAGAAGCAATAGCACGATATACTGATCAAACTATTATTTATTTGATGAGTTATTCTGTACTAATTAAACTGGTTGATTAAGACTTTCTATTGAAGTTAGTAATTCAAGGTATAAAGTAAGAATTCTAGCAGGTACTTTTCAAAGGATATTTTGCAACAAATTAATGAGAAAATCTTCATAGCTCGTTTTAGTTATATGTTATACTTTGCATTTGATAGGTTTATTTCATTTACAACGGATAGTTGTCCAAACGTACGTGAACCAAACGCACGCTTACTTCCTGTCAAACTATCGTATTAATAGTTGATCGTCCGATGTTTACAGTACGCACTACAGTGCATTTGTAATCGATATTGTAGCGTTACGCAATCAGCGACAATCAATGGAATTAGTTTCACCATAACGTCATCAACGTTTCCAACAATTGCAAACAGAATAGACGAAATTCAGTCTGTAAAAACTCAAACGTGCGTCTCCGCAAGTTGAAAATCAAAATACCTATAGGATAAATCAGAAAGAGATGGACTATCGGTTTAAATAGTCGAATTACGCCATCGTTATCATTGAGACTGTGGGAAACGAAACTGATCTACTTGTCTTTTTATTAATTTGTTAACTCAATTACGCTAATATACATGATTGACGTTCAATTCTTAAAAAACAAATGATTTATCTTCGTGCATTCATTCGTCGCAAGAAAATGGAAAAACGATTAGGTGGTAGATTCTAAACCCAAAATAAAAATTAATATGCCTAACTGTATCACAAAAAATTAAACCTACTATCATCCTCGAGACAGTGAAAACCATGCTCTATAGAATGCACTTTGTTTTGAGTCGATATTTCGATCGGTTGCCGAGATACAGGGCCCGAAAGCCGCTTAGCCAATACACGCGGGGAAGATGAATGGGCCAGTCATTGCCATGACCTACATTTTTTCCTCGAAATGCGTACGCGCGATAGTAAATAGTAAAAAAACTGCTGACTCGGTGTCTGCACTGACCAGCGCACGTGACGCGAGCTTGTGATAGGTCAGTGACGAGGTGCGAGCGAGAGGTCCGAGCGTGCGACAAGGACAGACTTAGCGAGATATTAAAAATTATCTTGCGCTTCCAACAACGATATCTCGGGAACCGAACATTCGATCGGCGTGAAACAAAAATGCATTTACAGGGGAACGTCCTAAGTATATGATCGTGTTGAATTTGTTAAGAAATTTGTATTATTTCTGTTCCCATAATTGACTGAATTTCTGGTAATTTCAGTAGGGTCTTTCGGGATCCTTTAGAGTTTATTATGATATATATGGGATACTTTGGAGTAATATTAGTTATATTTTACGTCTTTTAGTTAAAGAAAAATGTCACACGCGTTTCATCACGATGGTTTTGTTAAGAAATTTTTATTAATTTCGTTATAACGATTGATTTAATTTTTAGTAATTGCAATACGGATTATTGAGATGTTTGAGGGCTTACGGGAGTTAGTATGAGCTAGTTTGGAGTAATATCTCGTGTTAATAATATATTTATGTGTTTTCTATTTATGAATAATTATACCTGTTCTCACCATCATCCTCGTCAAACTAAAAAATTAAACTACAAAGGACAATCTCTCTTTTCCTGCAAAGATAACGGTCCCAGGCTTTAAAATCTCATACTTAATTAATAATTCATTATTACCGTCATAGTCTTTCATCAACAGTAAATCCACCAATTATTTTAAACTGTCTGCTTCGAAAATTCCCATTGTGATTCTCTATTCTCACCATCACTCTCGTTAAAAATTAAACCACAAAAGCGAATTTCTCTTTTCCCCCGAAAACAGTGGTGCCAGATTCGACGACGACGGGTCAATCGGATCCCTTGGACCCTCTGAGCAGCCTAATGTCGGGGACACCGAGTCAGAGGTACCAGGACTACGTGTCTCCCAGGTCCTTATCGACGGACTCGAGTACCACGGAGAGTCCTGTGCACGAGGAGCAAGGCTTCGGTCAAAATTACGGCAACTACTTCCCAACGCCCGGCGTCCTGCCCAGCATCCTCTATTCCCAATTATACGGGAATCAGTTTCAGAATTCGGAGAGCCCCGAGCAGAGAGCAGTGGCGGACAGTTGCAGCGTCAGACAGGAAGAAGTCAGACCGGACAACAACGTCTGGAGGCCTTACTGAGTGCCAGACGAATCGTTCCCGTGATAATTCTGATTTTAGAACTTTTCTCTCGTCGACTGTCGTGGACGATAACGTTGAGATGAGCAAACTGTGATCGGTGAAGATGGACGAGGTGTTGGTCTCGAACAAGCGAACGAAACTAGCTATTAGTGGGCATTAAAAAAAAAAAAAGGAAATCAAACAAGAGAGAACAATCCGGTGCATGTTCGAGGATGACGAAGAAATTTGCCTGGCAGCGATTGTCAGGAAATTTGGTTTTTCTTCTTTGATTTTTCGATTGGTTCTGTTTTTCTATCTTTTTTCGTTTGGCTGGTTATGTCTCGACGAATTGAAAATCTGTAGAGAGGGGCTGATTTGTAATTTACCGAGTGTGTGATGAGTGAACGTGCTACTGCTGGCCCACGGTGATGGTGACGATGATGATGATGTATATAGAAACATTGTACATAGATAGAGCATTGTCGTTTCATCGAGTCATTCATCACTGTCGACGGACTGCGCGACGTGTGACGACTTGTACCGGGTGTCTGCCGGATGCTTGGTCGAGCTCCGGATTATACTGCACTCTGCTTGTCTCGCAGATGAGAAATTGGATATCTCGCCTATGACTTTTCAAATTTTTTAGCTTGGTTAGGTCCATCTTAGATTATGCGATTTTTGTGTAAGAGTGTTCATATTGTTTTTTTATCTTTTTTCCAGCGATATTGGGATACGAATTTTTAATTAATAGTATATGCAATGTAACGTCTACGAATTTTGAATCGAATAATTTCTGAGTTTTCGTGGTTTTATAATTGTTTACTTTGGTTTTTTTACTTCTTGAACATTTTTCTGTAACAGTAGATATTCTGTCTCCTCTTTTTTTTTTTTTTTTTTGTTACAATATTAGGACACGGATTTTGGAATAATTTTGGGCTGATAGCATAATTAATGTAAAAAGTGTTATCTATGAAACAACAGTATTTCAAAGAAAAAATATTTTTTTAATTTTCTTTAAATTCTTAATATACACATATCATTATCGATCTCTAAAGTGAAAATTTTAACACCAAGCGGATTAAAGTCGATGTTTGACCGTAGATAAGATTCTCAGTGCAAAGATTAAAGTCTTCTTTCATCTTCAAGATAAGCAGATTTTCTATAACTCGACCAGTTATCAAATACACCCAGTGTAACTTTTATTCCTTTCGATTATGTTTTCATAGTATAACGTGATTTGATCGATTTGACTGCGGGCTCGTGTGCAATATCGTCGATTCGCGATTCTCGTAGAAATTTCATTGCGATATGTCGAACGAGAATCGAGTATCGACGGAGAGTCAAGAGGATAAGAATATATCGATTTGTATCACGCGAACGAAGGAGAAAAATCTCGCGATTCAACGAAAGAGAAAGAAGCTCCTCGCTTTCACATCGAAATTCCCCTCCATGAAATGGAACGCGAAAGAAAAGGTAAACGAAAGCTCGCGTTATAATGTTTGGATAAATGTTATGACGCGATTAATCGATTAAACGTCGGTAACGATTTATTCGTTTTTTTTTCTCTGAAAACCGACGACGTCTACATTCTGCCCCACCCCCTCAAAAAAAAAGAAAAAAAGAAAAAAAAACGATGATTTCAGATATACATATCTACTGACCTATTGTTATCGTAGTTTTTGACCGAGTCGAAATAAAAGTGTATTTCAAAATACGATAGACCACGTGGGTGTTTTTTCCGGTCCACTTATATTGGTTCTCTTCCAAAATTTTTTGTTCGTTCTTTTGAAGATATTTTCTGGATGGCTTTATTTTAATACTTTAAAAAATTTTTCCAAATTTTCTTTACACAATTTTTACATTTAGATCTGATAATATTTAACACAACTTTTAATAGTAGTTTCTTGTTTGCAGAAGTTTCTTTAGATTTAACGTTAATCTTTTTTTAGATTTTTCTCTAGCATTCTTGACATGTTTCTGTGTTAAAATTTTAAAGCAGTCGTTTGGAGTTTGTCGAAGTAAAAGTACCAGCTTACCAATAGCAATTAATTTTACTTGGATTGTCTACTAATACCCAATAAAATTCTCCTGTTAATTATTGCACCAAATTCAAACGACGAATTCAGAAATCTAGAATTATTAATAAAGTGTTCCAATAAGAATTAAAGTGATAATTTTACTTGTGCCTTTTATTAATATTTCTTGCACCAATGTTATACATTTTCTAATACACGATCTGGATTATTATTTCGAGTCTTTCGGATCAGTGGTATGAATGTTCCAGTGAGAAAAACTTTTTATTTCGTCAACTTTTCCACGGCAGTATTTTGAGAAAAAATTAACCTACCCCTGTTATAAACGTAGAACTTCCTTTATTGGCATAAAAATTAATTAGGTTCCATTCTGGATTTAAACATTTCCTTATTAGCTTGGAATCTCAGAGTACCATTTTTACCATTTCTAAAATACATCATAAACGTCTCTTAGCTTTCCAATTAAAAGTAAAAAATTAAGAAGGCTAAGGTTGTTCCAAAGGAAAATCTGTTAAATAAATGATAAACTTATCTAAAAGTATATTCAGCGTTTAATATATTGTCTTCAATTCCTAATCTTCTTTTATTATTAACATAAATCAACAATATCAATGATAGAGAGAAGAACTAATTAAAAAATTCATCTATTAAAGGATCACATCAGAAAGTTTCCTTCTCTTTCTAATTTTGTTGCCCATTATTATGAAACAAGCTTAGCTGGGATCCGTGGTGACCAGAGCAACAAGGGTCAACGATGTTGGTACGGTAAAAAGTACATAAGATCGGTGCTCGTAATGGTGGTTGTGTCAGGTAAAGGGTGGCGCAGGTAACGATACGAATCTCTACAAAGCTTCCCTAAAGCCGACAGTTCCAAAGGATCCTCTACCAGGACGATGCTGTGCGTATATGTAAATTGGCAAAAGATTTAATTAAACGTAGTCCCCGGGAGGAAGATTCTCCGTTGGTTTTGCCTTCTGCCTCCGAGCGGCTCTCTGCTAACGAACACGCGTTTTGAATTTAGTATTTCAGAGGTTCGGTTGCCTCGCATCAACGATCCCTGTAATTAACTCGTTCGCGGATTATAAACCATCTCTCTCAGCTGACTGATTTTTCAGAGAAAATTTGGAACAGAGGATTTTATTTAATTCTTCGTATCCTACCTTTCATTATTTTTCACAGTCTTAACCTTTAAAAAGTTTCTCCACTTTTTAACCCTTTGAAATTTGCTCAGATCTGTCTCATTGCTCGGCATAATTTTATTTGTACGTTTTGTGTCGGAAGGTATTATGAAATTTTTCTATGTGTAGAATATATAGAGGAATGGCAAACTAATTACCGTGAAAATGCAATAAATCGACTACTTCGATGGTCTCATAGTACGATTTCTAAAGTACTAACGACTCAAACAAAAAGGTGGTAATTAAATTGTAAATATGAAACGATGTATGAATAATAAAACTGATGCGTTTGTGAAACAAGAGTAGCTCACACTGATACTTCGTATACTCGAATACACGATGCATATATTACGTTAGATAAAGTATCATGCTGTTAAATAACAACATTATGCACATTTACATCGTTGTGCACATAACAGTATAAAGCGCCGTAACGACGTGATTCCGGCATAAAAGCAAACCTTTCTGCCAGAAGCTAACCAGTGGAGACATTGAAAGTATCGGAAATAGAGTCATTCGAAGCGACCAAAGTATCATCTCCTCTTACGCCTATATCATCCCTCTATCTTCTCATCTTCACACTGTAATACACCCTTCACAATGTTGATAATAATTAATCTAATAATCCATTATTATTAAACCTAGTGACTCATTGTACGATGCTATTACACTATGTGAAAGTATACCATCGAAAATTCACCAGTGGAGACTTTGTAAGTAGTATACGAAATATTAATAGCAAGTAAAGTACCTTTCGCGCCTCTACCGTCATCTTCCCATTTCCTACCCGCCCCATGAAACGCTCTCTAATTTATTCTGCTAAAAAGAGCGCGATTTTGCCGCGTGTCGCGCGCAAACCAGCCACAGAAGAGCGGTGTTTATCGGTGTTTCGCGAAGGTAGCCCCTGGACAGACAGTAGGGTGGCTGGTCGTCGCACGCACAACTCGTCGTTTATACGCGGTGCCGGCATAATGGAGCAGCGTAGAGCGGACCACGGATAATGGAGTATGAAGAATAGCGTGTGGTGAACGTCGAGGATAGTCTACAACAGCCCTCTTCATCCTCTCGTTTTTCATCCTTCTCTTCTCCTCTCTTTTTCCCTCTCGCTATCCATTCTTCTTGCTATACCAGTGCTGCAGTGGTTCTTAACCGGTGTTGCATAGAATACATAACGTCCCTTAGAGACTTGTTACAAGTGTACCGCGAAACGAAGTATTCCCTAAAAGAATCGTTCTAGTTTACAGTCTTTACGAATATAATATCCTTTTTTACTTCCTCTCAAATTCGCTCTTACGTAATTTATAATCTATACGTATTAACAAGTACGTTTATGCATATTCGTATCGTTAGTTTTTACAACTATGCGAGTGCTTTTCGGGAAATTTCAAGTTGCAAAGATCTAAATGTACGCAGTACGTGTATATAATAAAAATATTCAGCGCAGAGTATTTATTATGATATTTAGCGGATGAAAGAAATTTCTGTCGAACTTCTATCTCTTTAGTCTCGTTCATAAAAATATAAAATTACATAGGCATCTGCAGTCTATTTACGACTTGAATGATTCTGGCGCAGTGAAAATTTTCCTTACAATTTTCAACTGTTCCGCGACTACGAAAAAAATAACGCCACGCCAGTCATCGATGACACACGTTACTAAATTTTTTAGATTGATAAAAATAGGATAGATTTTACGTTAATTGACAAATTTTCAATTTGTTAACAAATTTTAACAAGTTTTCGACAATCTGAATGATATAGATAACATCGTCAGGAAAAGGTGCGCATATACAATATAATATTTTGCAAAAATTCAATGTTCTGGCGTAGCGTATTTCAATTTATTGCGGCTCCCACGACAAAAAATATGGAAAATTCACCTGGCAGTCAACGTGTTAAGAACCACTGTTCTATACTCTACACTATCCTCCCCTCTCTCTCTCTGTCATTTGCAAAAAGAGAAATAGAGACAGAGGATTGGTCGCG